ACACCGGAGACATTTTCCCAATTGTCCATTTTTGGAAAATTCTTTAGAACCGTTGAGGTTCAGCATTTCAAATCTGAGCATGCAGACACATGCAGCTCGACTGAGAACATTTATGTACTGGCCACCTAGTGTTCCGGTTCAGCCCCAGCAACTTGCAAGTGCTGGTTTTTATTATGTGAGTCGCAATGATGATGTCAAATGCTTTTGCTGTGATGGCGGACTGCGGTGCTGGGAAACTGGAGATGATCCGTGGGTGGAGCACGCCAAGTGGTTTCCAAGGTGTGAGTTCTTGATACGCATGAAAGGGCAAGAGTTTGTTGATGAGATTCAAGGTAGATATCCTCATCTTCTCGAACAGCTGTTGTCAACGTCAGACCCTCCCGGAGATGAAATTGCTGATCCACCAATTCATCTTGGACCAGTGGAGAGTTCCTCAGAAGATGTGGTCATGATGAACACACCTGTGGTGACCGCTGCCTTGGAAATGGGCTTCAGCAGAAGCCTGGTGAAACAGACAGTGCAGAGTAAAATGCTCACAACCGGGGAGAACTTCAAAACAGTTAATGATATCGTGTCAGCACTTCTTACTGCCGAGGATGAAAAACAAGAAGAGGAGAGCGAACGGCTAACTGAAGAAATGGGCTCAGATGACTTGACATTAATTCGGAAGAATAGAATGGCTCTCTTTCAACAGCTGACCTGTGTGCTTCCTATCCTGGATAATCTTTTAAAAGCCAGTATAATTAATAAGCAGGAACATGATATTATTAAACAAAAAACACAGATACCTTTACAAGCGAGAGAACTGATTGATACTGTTTTGGTGAAGGGAAATGCTGCAGCTAACATCTTCAAGAAGTGTCTAAGAGAAATTGACTCTACACTATATAAGAACTTATTTGTGGAGAAGAATTTGAAGTATATTCCAACAGAAGATGTTTCAGGTCTGTCACTGCAGGAGCAACTGAGGAGGTTGCAGGAAGAGCGAACTTGTAAAGTGTGTATGGACAAAGAAGTTTCCATCGTATTTATTCCTTGTGGTCATCTGGTAGTATGCCAGGAGTGTGCCCCTTCTCTAAGAAAATGCCCTATTTGCCGGGGCATAATTAAGGGTACTGTTCGTACATTTCTGTCATGAAAGATAAGGAGGCTATGATTTAGCCTACACAGAATACTCTTTAAGGTACTCTTGAAGGTTTGAAGCAATCTGAAGACAAGACAGGAGCCCAGAGTGCTGCTAACCAGGGGGGTCAGTTTGAGCCCACCAGCTGTTTCGTGGGAGAAGGATGTGGCATCTGCTTCCCTAGATAGTAGCCATGGAAACCCTAGAGGGCAGTTCTCTGTCCCATCGTGTCCCTGTGCGTTGGCGGAATCCACGCCTTGGTTTAGAAGTACCGGGAGACTGACTGGCTTTTACAGCAGTAACATTGTGTTCTATTCTGCTTTGGGATGAATAATCTTGTTTCCAAGAAGAAAAGTATTCTATATCACATTTAATTTTTTGATTTGCAAGGAGAGATTTTTGTTTGCTGAGTTATACCGGTTTATATGTGTGTGGTAGTAGGAAGAATGAAAGCAGTAGCCATGGTGCTGTTATGTATCATTTTAGAAGTAAGTTTCTAGATTTGGAATTCTCTCTGGACGTTTTAAGTGTAGCATAAGAACAAGCTTAAAGGAACTGGAAACCAGAAACTCTGGAG